GGGGGCTGTCGTAGCTAAAGGCAAAGGTTCCACTTCAGTTACATCAAACAGTGATGATATTGCATATACAGTTAAATATTTGCCATTTAAATAAGAATTATTACTGAGACATGAGAAGTCAGCCTTACCCGAAGGAGTGTCCTCCAGATCTAATTTAAGGTTTCATCCTTTTCTGGTCAAGGCCTTGTTTTAGCTGAGTGGCTTCAGTTGGCACTTGCCTGACTTTTAAAATCAGGCTGTTTCACTGCAACAGTGATGATGTTCTTCCTTTTGGAGCAAGGCTGCTGCTACTGAAACTTGCTGGCCTACAATCCATCTTTGATAATGTTAAAATACTATTGCTAATAATAGCAGTAATGGGAAATGGGTTCATCCAAGCATAAATATTTTGACATGAAAGAAATTTAAAACTCTAGTAAAGGGAAATAAATATCTATAACTAAACCAATGAAAAAAAAAAAACTTTGAATACAGGCAAAACCTGAAGAAAAAATTATGCTTTGCAGATATCTCTGGAACAAGCTGGCTGAACCATAAAGAATTTAATTTTGGTCTAAGAGTGTATAGAACTGACAACTGTGCTCATTCAGCTCTGGTTCTAGGTACCAGAAATGCAGTGATGAATGAGACAGTCTTGCGGGGAATGACAATAATAAAGAATTACAATATGAAAAGTATATTGGGGTATCATGATGACATCCCAGTATTTTGAGTGACATGTCGAGCCTCAAGGAAGAATTGGCATCTAAGATGTAACTGAAAGATGAGTGGGTGGGAAGAATGACAGGGTTTCTGGTCAAAACTGAAGTAAAATAATGCATGGAGGCCTACAATGCTAAAGTAATGTAATGGGCCCCAAGGGACTGAATATAGCTTGACAATAGTGTGCAAGAGAAAGCAGGATTGAGATAGTGGCAGATTGTAAGTCTGTTAGCCATGCCAAGGAGCCTTAGACATTATCCTGAGGGCACTGGGGATCCATTGCAAAGTACCTGACTTGGAAAGTCCTTGGTCACTGTGTCATATCAATATTATTCGGGTAACAATATGAAAAATGAATTGAGTGAATAGTGCCAAGGTGTGGGTAAGGAGACCTATCCAGAAACTGGTCACAATCCAGATAAATGATAGTGGCTGTAGAAGTAAGGATAGAACTAGACCAGTGGTTCTCAACCTTCTGGCCCTTTAAATACAGTTCCTCATGTTGTGACCCAACCATAAAATTGTTTTCGTTGCTACTGCATAACTGCAATGTTGCTACTGTTATGAATCGTCATGTAAATATCTGATATGCAGGATGGTCTTAGGCGACCCCTGTGAAAGGGTCGTTTGACCACCAAAGGGGTCGCGACCCACAGGTTGAGAACTGCTGAACTAGAGGATGAGCAGACATTCAGTTCTGGAAACCAATTGAACTAGTTTGCTTGGTATGCCTGTGAAGAATCAATAGAGCACATGCATTATGTTATTTGAGACAGCATGACACTTTCCAAGTGGAGCTGTGTGGGGTGTCAATTTAATATATAGGTTTGTCACCCCAGCCGGAGATCTAGGATGGAAAGGTATTTGAGAGGTAGCTCTTTTTAGGGGTAATGAAGTCATGGGAGTATATTTACCTGCTCAGGGGAGTCTGCAGAATGCAATATCAAGAGAACTGCCTATTAGAAATGTCACATTATCCAATCAGGCAGAGAAGGGAGAGCAGTCAGACAGAGGACAAACTGAAAACCAAGTGGTCATGCTGTCCTGGGAACCAAAGAGAGCTTTTCAGGCAGAAAGGAGCCAAGACAGAGTGACCAATAGCTCCAGATGTTCTAGACGGCAACTAAAACTACCAAGGAAGAAAGGGTTAGGAGTCATTGAAGAACAAGGAGGCCACTTAATGACTTTGAAAGTAATTTAGTGATTTTCGTAGGCCTACAAATGAGGCAGTGAGAAATAATTGGCAGGTGTAGATGCCAGTGTCTGCGTTTTAGGAAGCAAAGAAAGTTTAAAAAGAGGGTGTTGTGTAGACAGTGGGAGGGGGAGCAGGATTGTCAGGTTTCACTGGGGTTCTGGTTTGGTGCGACACCATGATTTTCTGAAGGCACCAATCTGGGCAGAGGGGTGTGTATACTCATGTCAGAAAGTGATTTTAATTTTTGCAAGCAGGGAGAGAGTGCTTACCCAGTTTTGACAAGTGTAGACAAGGTGAGCAGTTCTCTTGATCCATAGCAGAAAATGATTTCATTTTCCCGAAACCCATCTAGAACATTGGCAAGTTTTCTGAATGCAGCCCATCATCTTATTTAATGTCATCTATGTTAAAGTGTAGCATTGCAGCCAAATAATAATTGTATTTAAACTACCTAGAAAAAACTAAGTCAAGGTGCTATTTTTCTGGGTCCTGGGATGTTTAGTTTATAAACATTCACATAGAAAAAAATTCAGTATTCTGAGCAAGGGAAGAAATTTGCTTATTAAAAGATGTGGTATGGCATTCAATTATTACAGTGTATATAGCTTGTGATAAACTGGTTGCCGAACACTGACATGCACATTGGTGGAAGCATGTCTTTCATGGTGTATGTTAGTGGGAAGAAATACTTCAAATTAGTTGAATGGATTAAACGATCTTACTGACTTTTCCTTTTCCATATAGACACTACATGTGAAAGTCATATCAGGAATCCTCTCTCCTTTATCTGCTTTCAAGATAGTTACTGAGATTGAATGCATAAAACAAAGGATACTTGTATAATTTAATTGTGGTCATGCTGTTACATGATTTCTTTCGTGGTGGTTCCAGGAAATTCTAGAATGTTGTTGTGCATTTGTATCTGAACACAATTGTATAGAATTTCTAGCCCATGTTTGTTTTCCTATTGAAAATGACAATATCTAGCTCAGGGTATTCAAGTAAATGTAATGTTATTCATCAATAAAATAACATTCATCAATGTTATTTTAAACAATGCTTTTAATTACTAGGGGATTTGGTTTGCTTTTTGCATTTGTTTTGTTTTGAGCAGTTGATTGAGGAACATTCGGATATCAAGGGCAGCATAGTGGAAATACTGAAAACATTTGCCAGTAGGTGGATGATGGAAATGAAATGTTGGACTGGGTATAGAGTTTTAGAATTTAGAATATGATAAGAAAAAAAAGAGTAAAATTTCACGTGTTTAGAGTTCCCTTTACTGGTCTCTCAATCTGAAATAAGTCCAAGATTAAGGAAGTAAAAGAGGAAAGATTCCTTAGGGAGCAAAATAGATCTACCTTAAGCCTTAAACTTTATAGGAGAGGCCTCTGCATTCTTTTAGTCTTCTATGGCTTTACTTGATGTGTCTCCATCACATTATTGTATGTAATTGTTCTAAGAGATTGGTTAGATTTTCAAGCCCACAGATAATTTTAAGCAGCGGTTCTCAACCTGTGGGTCACGACCCCTTTGGCGGTCGAACGACCCTTTCTCAGGGGTCGCCTAAGACCATCCTGCTTATCAGATATTTACATTACGATTCATAACAGTAGCAACATTACAGTTATGAAATAGCAACGAAAATAATTTTATGGTTGGGTCACAACATGAGGAACTGTATTTAAAGGGCCAGAAGGTTGAGAACCACTGAAAAAGAAGGCAAATTGCTTAAGTAGAAATGTAAAGAGAGTGAAAACTACCCCCCTCCAAAAATAACAGGAGTAAAAAGCTCTAAAAGCATAGCAATGAAGTAGCTTTACTATAGGGATATATATCGGATACACAGCCCGTACAGCTACCTCAGGGAGCTTCTGAGGTCTTGTATGATCCATTGATCTGTGAAGGAAGATTACATTACTGTTGACCCTTGAACAACATTGGTTTGAACTACCCGAATTCATTTATGCCTGCATTTGTTTCTATCTATAATAATAAAAGCATAATACGTTAATTAGACTGGATGGCCTCCCGGACGACCTTCCGGATGAAGCTGGGGCTGCCAGGGTGGGTCCCGGGTGCCTGCCAGCCGCTGGAGGGAAGCCCGGGTCCCCGGTGCTGGTGCAGGAGGGAAGCCTGTGCCGGCAGCCAGGGGAAGGAAGCCTACTCTTGCACAAATTTCGTGCATCGGGCCTCTAGTAAATATATAGAAACTGCTGGTATCTAGGTTTCACGTCTGTGGAAACAACCAACAGTATTTTCCATCTGCAATTGGGAATCCGACAATGCAGGGGACACACTATAGGCATTGTTCACCACTTCATATAAGTGACCAGCATGCAGGGGTTTTTGTATTCATGGGGTGTCCTGGAACCCATCCCTCACTGGTACGAAGGAAACACTCTATTTAAGTTTTGGGGAATTCAAAAGTCATCTGTGGAATTTCAACTGTGTGGGGACCCCTGACCGAACCGCCGCATTGTTCAAGGGTCAATTGTGTAGTTAAAGTAATGTTAAGAAAGCAGAATTTTTTTCATGTGAAGCTATTCAAAGTAATACAGTTTTATTTTAAATGGCGTTTACTCACTTGTAAAAATGCTCACTTCGCTAATATGAAGTCTTATATTTTGAAATAATTTAGTCCATATTATTTCTATCTATGAAATCCCAATACCTCTACTCATAGCATTTCTAGAGTACCCACTGGGTGCAGAGTGTAGCAGGAAAAGAAGGCAGATGACCCTGACCTCTAGGAACTTGCCTCCTGGGAGGAGGCTGAGTCTGAGGTGACAAGTCATCATCAGTTTGCATTTCAAACTGTGGACAAGGACCCTGATCTAGGGCTGCATACTGTAGACGATGTCCTAGGAGACAGGTGAGTGTGAAATGAACTGAGAAAAACTGGGGAAGGACGCACACCGATAAGTACATTAAAAACCAAAACTATTGCTGCTGTCTCTTTAACTTACTGTTGAATGAATATTCGCCTTATTCCTTAAGAAACCATAAGCTCACCAAGGACCTGCCTGCTGCCAGGCCAGAATCCGTGGCTGGTGAAAAAGAGAAAATACTTGACTTCCATGTCTTATTCTCTCATGCCCAGATGCCTGTGATGAGATACCAAGATATGAATCTATGAAAGCCAAGGGTAATCCTGTGCCCCCTGTAAGTGCTGGGTTCTCAGTAGAATATGAGTGTCGCCCAGGATACAGGCTTATTGTTCCTCTTGTTCGTCCCACCTCCACTGTTTGTCAGCTTGATGGCACATGGGCACCTCCTCGTCTCCAGGAGGCTTGTACAAGTAAGTACACAAGACTTTTTATTTTTATTGCTCTAAAGATTTTCATACATTTTAGATGGCATATTCTGTTACTACAATGATGGTTTTCTCACGTGGAGGTAGGTTTTAGATAGTCATGTATTTTTTCAAGCTTTGAAAAACTTCCAGGTAATCTTTTTCTTGTTAGTTGTCTGGGTAAATGTGAATCTTAAGTTTGGCCTTTTAATAGTTAAAGAAAGAAAAGTAGTATTCTTTTCAGTAGAGCAACGTAGAATTTAGGTTTTGATTCAGATCTGTTTTGGAGTTTGTATTAATCAACGAATTTAAAAAATTTCTTTCAGGAAAATCATGTCCACAGCTAGCAGAGCCCCTAAATGGCCGCCTAGAAGGAAGTTTTCAGTTTGGTTCACAGGCTAACTACTCTTGTAATGAGGGGTAAGTAGAGGAAATAGGTAAATGTTACTACTTCTATTTTTGTTTTGCTTCTCTTCTAAGTATTCCCATAATGTTGATTTAATTTTGCTTTGTGTGGGAGAAGTTGTACTCATAGCCAATCAACTCTTGGGCTTCTTAGAGAGATGGAAAAGATGTGTAATGAATAGAAAGGAATTTCCATTGAAGTAAAGCAGAACTGTATAATACTATCCTATATAATAAAAGCCTAATATGCTAAGTGTCCGACCCTTCATTCGACAAGTTGCTATGATGCCCACTGACCACTAGGGGGCAGACGCTCTGTCCGGTAGGTTAGCTGGGGACCGGCCAATTGGGACTGGGAGAGACAGGCCGGACACGCCCTGGAGTCCCCTCCCACAGTTTCTCCCCGATCGGCCCCTGCAGGCCAGGCTGAAGGATCCCACTGGTACACAAATCCATGCATCGGGCCTCTAGTCCTATCTAATAATAGAGAAACATGGTAATTAACCGTAACTTCGCTACCCTTCCCATTGGCTAATCAGGGCGATATGCAAATTAACTGCCAACCAAGATGGCGGCTGGCAGCCACTCAGCTGAAGTGAACAGGAGGCTTGCTTGCTCCAGTGATGGAGGAAGCCAAGGTTCCCCGCCTGCCACCACCCAGCTCTGAGCTCCAGATGCAACAATGTTGCAATTATAGAAGCTAAACTAACCCCAGAAACCTGCTTTCAGCCGCCAGCGGCCTCAGAGCTTAGAGCGACAGTGATGGCAACAGAGTTTCAATTATAGAATCTAAACAAACCCAGATACCTGCTTTCAGCCGGCAACGGCCTCAGAGCTGGAGCTGGCTCTCAGCTCCAGTGACAGCTATAGAAGGTAAATAAATCCCAGAATAAAAAAAAAAGAAAAAAAAAGAGGCTGGGAGCTTCAGTCGCCCACCAGGCTGAAAACAGCCCTCAGCCCCTCACCCAGGCTGGCCAGGCACCCCAGTGGGGACCCCCACCCTGAAGGGGGTGTGACCAGCTGCACACAGCCATCATCTCCTCATCCAGGCTGGCCAGGCACCCAAGCGGGACCCCAACCCTGATCCGGGACACCCTTCAGGGCAAACCAGCCGGCCCCC